GCGCCAATTTCTTATTTATTATTATTATTATTATCATTATTATTTTTGTATCCTTTATTTATGGTGGTGGACTCTTGATTGCAGCTTTAAAGTATCCTAATGGCGTTGATGTTTTACGCGACATTTCTGCAGGATCCGTAATTCTTCATTGACCTTGCTCCATTGCTCAATTGAAATCAAGTGAGAAGAGGTACTGCAGTGTTGCTGTCATGCCTGTATTATATCGCTTTTAATCCTGTGTAAAATTGTGTTATCACACTATGAGGTTTATTTTAATTGATGTTTTACATGTTTGAAAAGCTTTTTGCGAACTATAAGACATGAATTCCACTGTAGATTTTTGTTACAACTTTACAACGCATTAGTGTTAAACAAAATGTTGTTGAAGGTCAGTGGTTGGAAATACATCTTCAAAACGTGAAATCTTCCGTTGATGGTTTCGCATGTGCATATAATTTGTTTTATGTTCACAAGTTGTTTGTAATACAATAAAAGAGTATAATTTTAACCAGTAGTATACGTAAGCTTGAAAAAATAATTTTGTGAAATTTTATTTGATTATAAAAATTCGTTTTATTTTTTTTTTGTATGGTTTAAACATTTGGGTATTATTGGTAATAAATTTTGAACGTTGCTTGCACTTTAATATCTTAGAAAGAATTTCAGATTGGAAACTCATTAACTTAGGTTTAGTTATGTATATTTTAACTACTGAAATTGTTCCCTTACAAAATTGTTATGGTTCGATCTTATTATTAATCTAATTTCTAATTAGTCATGTATTATGAACTTATAAACAAATGTAAATTTTTAACAGAACTCACAATAAAGTAACAAGTATCAGTTGATTGTATTGGCAAAATTTGGCTGTTAATTAAAAAAAAAATTGTATGAGAATAAGTCTGTATGTACGAGTGGAGATTTGCAAGTGTTGAGAGAAAGAAATTTTTAATTTTGTCTCATGCGTTATCAAATCGAATTAACTCTCATTAAGGAAGTCTTATTCGTAACAGCGCTTTGCTTTATGTAAATGTTTAATAATTTTTTATCCATTATCTGCTATAAATAATAAGTTGTTATTACATTTATTTATATTGGTGATTTCAAAAGATTCGTTTTAATATTTATCTAGTTTTTTTTCCGAGGTTCTTTTATGGCTTAAACTTTCATACCAATTTCTAAATTCTGATGTCTAGCATGCTTATCATAGTTGTGTTTATTTTTATGTTTATATTTGATGTGTTCATCGTGAGTTTTTTCATGCATGTCTCTTAAACAACGGATCAAATCAATAAGATAATTATTATAAGACTGCATTTGATTTTCGATTGGATATGGATTTGGTGGACGTGCTTTTCTGCCGTATACTAATTCATATGGTGTAAATCCGGTAGTTGTATACAGTGATGTATTGTATTCATGTCTAGCTAAAGGTAAAATTTTGTCCCAGTCTTGTTTAGTTGTAGCTTTTGTTCTTAAAAAGCTTGCAAGCATGGCATGATTACGTTATAGTGAACCGTTAGATTAGGGATGGTTAGGTGTACTGGTCTTAAGGTTAAAACCGAAAACTTGGGCTTAATTTGTTAGTATATTATTTCGAAAAATCTTCCAATTATCGCTGAGCACTATTCTAGGCACTCCATACAATGCTATGAAATGTCTTGCCAGAGTGTTTGCGATTGAGCTCGCTCGGATGTCGGGTATAGCTACTGCAACACAGTATTCTGAAAATAGACATTGTATAGTTTATATATGTTTATTTCTAGATGTTGTTGTTGCTAAGGGTCCTACAGTATCGATGGCTATTTTTAGGAAAACTTCAGCTGGAGTATCAGTTTTTTGTCATCGGTTTTTTTGTTTTCATCAGTGTTAGATTTTGTTCTTGGCAAATATTGCATTTTCGTACGAAATTTTAAATATCTTTCCTCATACCTTCCCAGTAATACAATTCTTGTATTTTTCTATAAGTTTTATTCGTGCCTCTGTGGCCGCCAAAGAGGCTGTTGTGGCAATCTATTAATTACTGTTGTTTCATTTCGTTTGATAAATAAGCACGTTCACTGAAACATACAGTTATTTTAATATTGACATGACTATGTTCTTCATGAATTGCTTTGGGCAATATTTCTCTGAGCAAATTGTCGGTTATTTCACCCTCTCTGGATATTCTCAATATTTCTATACTTTTATTTTCTATTGCTTTAGCTAAAACTGCTAAGCATGAGTGAAGCTCTTGAAGCAATATTTAATTTTTTTCTCTTTCTTTGATAACCAAACATAATACTAGATCATTTTTATAATTGGTTATTATCACGTCACCTACTTGTGGTTACGTTTTATATAACTCTGATTTCGAAATATAATTTAAAACTAATAATAATGTATTTTTAGTAGAATTAAGTGTCAAGTCAGCCAAAATAAACGTTGCAATGTTGTCTTTTGCATGTGTTAAACATTTTCGTGTGCTTAATATTTCGAGGTGATCCATTTCTGTTCCTACCATAGGTTTTATTATAGTGCTTTTCTTACGAGTGGCTTGGTCATCACGTTCGGTATTCCATTGCTAGTCTAACACTTCAAATGTGGCTGTAGGACAAGTAGACGGTGTCAAGTTACTCTGCTTTAGGGTATAATGCCGTTTTATGAATGTGTCTTGCTATTTAGCACTTGAATGACAAGATGTATTGGGTGTGCTACCATGCATTTTTTCTTTATTTCTAGCTTCTACGCTATCTTCTTGTTTAATGGTAGAAACTTTGGGCTCTTTTCCTACACTATCAACATCGTCTCCTATTACCACAGATGCAGCCTTGGAGCGTCTTATACGTGATTTTGATCTTATTGGAAAGCTCCCTTCTTCTATAGACTTTAAAGAGTTGTCGGAATAGTCTAGTGTATTCTTAGATGAAGTTTTTTAACTTTGAAAGTTTGTTTCGGTTAACTCTGGTTCGTTCTTTCCTGTTGTTCATGGTGGTATGTAATAATCCCAATATAAAGATAGATCAGCAAAATTTGTATTTTGCAAACTATTAGTGAAAGGATACTGTTTATCAATATTTTTGATATCAAAAAGTAAAATTAAATAAAATTATCAGTCTCTTGGGAATAAACGCGAGAATACTGGATTTTCCGTAGATTAATAAATCTATTGATGAAATTCGTCGACGGCTCCCGGATGTTATGAGCCGGATGTAAGAAACTCGTTTGCAAATCGTCAACAGCTCTCGGATGTTACGAGCTGGAAGTTTCGTGCTCAGCTACTCCAGGGTGTTGACGGAGCTGCTAGAGTATCTGCGTTGGCCGATGTCGTTGGCCCTTAGTCCACCTCCTCTACCGTGGGTCCGGAGTAGTTGTCATTAGCTGCTTGTCTAAACTGATTGCCGCAGTCCTGTGGCCCGGCCGCGTTGCCTCCCGTGTGGATCTTGGTCATGATGGGCGAGCATTGGCGCTGAAGTTCTTCGAGCTTGTGCTTAAATTCGTCTTTTTCGGCCAGGGAGTTGTTGTCCAGCCAGCGAATGGTGTCTTCGCACAAGCTAAGGACGCTGTTCTTGTCCGACTGGTTGAGCTTGTCGCCGCAATCTTGCACCGCTTGCTTGACCGTAAACACGTAGCTCTCCAGTTGGTTGCGCGCAACGACCTTCTCACGCTGTTCCTGGTCTTGTTCACGGTAGCGTTCCGCGTCGGACAGCATGCGATCGATCTCTTCTTTCGACAAGCGACCCTTGTCGTTGGTGATGCGGATGTTGTTGCTACGACCGCTAGCCGTGTCCTTGGCGGTAACGTGCAGGATCCCGTTGGCGTCCATGTCGAAGGTGACGTCGATCTTTGGAATGCCACGGGGTGCGGGCGCGATGCCGCTCAGTTCGAAACGACCCAGTAAGTTGTTATCCTTGGTCATAACGCGCTCGCCTTCGTACACTTGGATCGTAACGCCTGGCTGGTTATCGGCGTAAGTGGTGAAGGTCTGGCTCTGCTTGCACGGGATGCGGGCGTTGCGCTCGATGATGTTGGTCATGACGCCGCCAGCTGTTTCGATGCCGAGCGATAGAGGTGCAACGTCGACTAACAGGACGTCCTGGAGGACGCTGCACTTGTCGCCTTCGCCCGTGAGGATGGCTGCTTGGACGGCGGCACCATATGCAACGGCCTCGTCGGGGTTGATGGAGAGGTTCAACTGTTTGCCGCAGAAGAAGTTTTGCAGCATGCTCTGGATCTTGGGGATGCGAGTTGATCCACCGACGAGTACGATTTCGTGGATGGATTTTTTGTCAAGTTTGGCGTCAGCAAGAGCTTTTTCAACGGGTTCGAGGGTTGATCTAAAGAGGTCGGCGCAAAGTTCTTCGAAGCGTGCTCTGGAGACTTTGGTGTAAAAGTCGATACCTTCGATAAGGGCATCGATTTCGATGGAAGCTTCTGTGCTGGAGGAAAGGGTTCGCTTGGCTCTTTCGGCTGCTGTTCTTAAACGCCGAAGGGCGCGGGGATTATTCTTGATGTTCTTGCGATACTTGCGATTGAACTCGTTGCATAGATGGTCGACGAGTCTGCTATCGAAGTCCTCTCCTCCCAAATGAGTGTCGCCTACGGTAACAATGAGCAATAGTTATGAACTTGTTTTATGTTATTTTCTTTAGAAGAGAAATTACTTATTTTCAACTTTAAAAAAGTAAAAGTTTTTATTTCTCTTTTTTAAAAGATAAAACTTCTTGATTTACTTTCAAAAATGCAAATTTTACGAATCAAGACTTTATAAGTATCAACTTTTGAAAAGATGAAATTCAATTTTTTTTCCTTTTCTATACTATAATAACATCTTTTTAAAAGGATGAAAAACATTGTTTTGTCTTTATGGTCATCTTTGAAAAGAAGAATTCGAAGAATTTTGTCTTTCTAAAGTTAAAATTTATGTTCAAGGATGGAAACTTACCAGCAGTAGCTTTTACTTCGAAGAGGGAACCCTCATCGATGGTAAGGATAGACACATCGAAGGTGCCGCCACCCAAGTCGAATATTAGAACATTTTTCTCTCCCTTGAGGTTCTTATCAAGGCCGTAGGCGAGAGCTGCGGCTGTGGGCTCGTTAATGATCCTGAGAACATTCAGGCCTGCTATGGCTCCAGCGTCCTTGGTGGCCTGGCGCTGTGAGTCATTGAAGTACGCGGGCACCGTAATGACCGCGTCCCTCACTTTCTGGCCTAAATACGCTTCGGCTGTTTCCTTCATCTTCGTCAGGACCATCGAGCTGATCTCTTCCGGATTGAATCTTTTCTTTTCGCCCTGGAATTCTACCTCTATCTTCGGCTTTCCGCTCTCGTTGACGACTTTGAACGGCCAGTGTTTCATGTCGCTCTGGATCTTGGAGTCGTCAAACCTACGAGGGACACAAATACGTAAGTAAATCGCTAATGGCTGTGAAACTCGAATAGTCACTCCGAAACACGCACTTGATAAAATAAAATAAACAGCGATACGGGAAAGAAAAATAAATTTTATTGGAAACCGCGAAAACCGAAAATTCAATGATTAACATTTAGTCACTTGGTAAACATACGCTTGATAGAAGTAGATTAATCGAAAAATATCAAACTCAACACTAAACGTACGTCCAACGTAATAGGCACATCAATGGCAGGCGTATGTAATTATGTACGTAAAAGAAGAGAAAGAGCAAGAAAGGCAACAATAAAAGTAAAAGTAAATTATTAGGTGTATAAAGATTGCTTTTCACTTACCTACGTCCGATGAGCCTCTTGGCGTCGAAGACTGTGTTGTTGGGGTTCATGGCGACCTGGTTCTTGGCGGCATCACCGATGAGTCGCTCAGTGTCCGTGAAGGCAACATAGCTGGGTGTTGTGCGGTTGCCCTGATCGTTGGCGATGATCTCGACCTTCCCCTGCTGCCAGACACCGACGCAAGAGTAGGTGGTACCCAAATCAATACCAATGGCAGGCATTGTTTCGTTGTTGTTTGTATTATTCGCTTTGAAGTGATTCGTTTGATTGCTTTTCATGTACTGAAGTTGCCGTCCGACGCGGCTCTATTTATATGCGCGCTCCGGCCGAGCTTTCCCCACCATCAAACAGCAGTGCTGCTGCTGAACGAAGCTTTGGCGAAGCTTCTCGAATCGCACTTTCGAGAGAGCGACTGCAATCTGCAATGGACATGAGAGAGAGCTCGAAAATACTGGAACTCTCTCGCTGACTCAGCCTCACTGCTACATATACTCAATATATAAGACATGTTTGCCTCTCCGATCGTTACATTGAATGCATTGTCTTGTTGGCCTTTTAAATCGGATAAAGAACTTTGATTTTACGCGAGGGTTCCGCGAGATATTCCAAAACATAATTTTTTTTTTTTTTAATTTTTTGTCCTATACCGTATAGGCAATGTAAATAACATCTGCCCTTGAAACATTCCAGGCCCTTCCGTATAGGGTCTCGCCCTGCATCACTTTTATAATAATTCATTTAAAAGGTTGTGCGATTTTCCACCATTGACTTCTTATAAATGGTATAATAGGTCTTCTATCATTTGCCAGCGTCTCGAAAGCTTGCTTTTCATATGTGAAGCATAAGAAGGTAATATCAGGCTGCGATTACATGGACCAAAAAAATATCCTAAGCTTGTCTTACTGGTGTTTTACACTTTTACCTCAAGTTTAGACATGAATGATTTGACAACTTAAGGATATATACCTATTCTTTTAGTCCGTGTAATCGCAGCTTTAGAGAGAATCGTTAAAAAAAACAAACAAAGCAAGCTCTTTGTGCGCGCGCACCAGACGCCAGTAACCCTTCGAGAGGCTTCTGGTACCTATACCTAAGTATCAAGTTGTAAAACGTAGATAAACGTTTTGTCTCAATCGTTGTTTATTTTTTCCTTAATGGTAATGATGCAGGTATGAAAAATAGGAATGATGTTGAAAAATTACGCGCACGTTTGAAAAAATAATGTTGGAGAGTATATCCGCGAAAATTGTCGAATATTCGTGAAAGATAAAAGTAGGTATACGTGTGTATTTCAGCATCGCAAAGCAATTGTTAAACAAGCTGAAGTTTTATTTGTCGAAGCTGTTATGCTTGCTTCACGAGCCGATATCATGATAATTTATTGGAACAATTCTAAGATATACGTTGATTATGTTCATTTTTTCACTCTCCGCGCTCACCAACACAATCTGACAAATGGCAATAAATTCAAACGAAACCTCGAACACACGCAAAACTAACGTGGTTGTCTACAATAGCGATATCATTAAATATTGTTGATTGTTTATAAACAACGCATATGTGAGTCGATGTGGATGAAAATACGAACATATAATTGTATGGATTTTGTACACCACAAAATTATAAAATTCACTTCGAGCTTTAAATATCATAAGGCATTATTCAAACTAAATTATTTAAAAAATATGACGCGCGTATAAAGCAACCAATTGGCATATTTTTTTGTGTATGTGTTACACTCTCAACAATTTCTTTTACAGAATGACAATCGCAAAAAATTGTCATCGAAGGGTTTAATTTATATTGAGAATAATCCGATCGTACACACATTTATTAAAATAACTCCATAAATAAATGTTGAATAACAATAATATATTATGTATACAGTGGAAATTGTGTTATTTCAAATTATCAAGCGCATCATTACTATCAGTGTAAATTTCTACACGATACGAGAGAGTTAAGTACAGATATAAGCAGAGGAAACTGGTATTATCGATTTTGCTAGACCTGATGAGCTTTGATACCGTTGGTAGTTCAACGATCTTTTCTAGAAATTTCTCGAAGAAGAGCACGAGACACGAGCCCGACTATCAAGTGTGTACGTATTTTTGGCACTTGTACCCATACATTGTACATGGCACTTCTATACCGAAGGGTCGACATTTGACATATTTTCGTCGTCTAAAATTGTCCAAGTCTGTATATAAATATACATTGGTACAATGTAAACCATCACAACCAACCGTCAGTCGAGTAAACGCTTTTCAGACAAGGTCACAACACAACGGCAATTTGGTATTTTAAAATCGCAGTTCTGCTTAGCTTTGTATTTGTTTTTCTCTTTTTTCATTTTTGTAAATAATTCCATTTATTTTCTTTTTTTATTTTTTTTTATGTTGCAGTGTTCAATTTTCAAAATATCGAAATGCGCACGACGCTTCACACGTGCATTTTTCTAAAAATTGAATCATAACAAAATTCTACATGTTATCGATAAATAAAAGTAATAACGAAATTTTATACAGCTTCCATCAATGCAAAGAAAAATGTATCGGTCTTGTCGTGGACATTGCGTACTTTTAAAGTTAATTTGATACACAATAAATATTTTGGGGCATGGAACAACGGGATTTTGATGAAATGAATCATGCAGGTATGTATAGCGCTTTTTCCAAGCATGGCTCGAATTTTCTCGATGTTTTATTTTGAATGAGGCATACAAAGTACACGACCTTGGTATATTTGCTTATCTCATCAATATACATATACTTATTTACCTTATTGTATACGAGATGTGCATACAAGCGGAATCTATATATTATAAGCTGAACTTGGATATCGTTTAAATGATTAAATAACAAGTATTGCTAGTTTTTTTTACTAGACAATTAATTTATTCAAGCCTGGAAATAAATACTACTTGTGGGAAAATTTCGATAAGTTTAAGTTGGCTCATAGATAATACATACAAAGTCCTACAAATTTATATTTAGACAAATAATGTAAAAATATTATAACTAAGCTTTCTCAAACTTTCGTATATCTCTATTTTTTTTTAACTAGTACCACACAGATGATACTTGACATTTTGTCTTTATTGTTGTATTATGAAGGAGTACCCCTACAGGTACTGAAAATAATTAAAAATAGTTTCAATAAATTATACTTTATCGGCTATGCTGTCCATCCCAAAATGGTAATTTTCTTCTACCACGCAATTTTTCCTATATCAAGGGCGCAATAAACGTCCAAATGTCTTCGTTCAAACCGTACATAGACTTACATTAGTTGTTAATTAAAAAATATCTACAGCATCAATTTTGTCCGAACGCAGCTCATTAGCTTCCTGTTTTAATTTCGCGTAATGTCTAACAAGTTTTTGCCCCGTTAGACATCTACTAGCATTTTTCATTATATTTTGCCTTTTTTCTAAATGAGCTGCAAAAGAGTGTCGTATACATTTTATTTCTATCAAATAAGCAAATTTTCTTCTACAAGGTTGTGCAATAACATTGCTACTGTCAACTAGTTTTTACCGATATTTTAAGCTAATATGCCTACCCTACAAGCTTTTTTGATCACTGATTCACGAATTTAAAATCAAAATAAAAAAAGAACGTAATGTATTACGTTATTATGGTAATAAATATGTACGTAATGTTGATTTAATGAAATTTTCTAAATAATACTTAAATTCTTAGAGAATATATATATACATGGAGGAAGCATTGTATGCTCCGACCGCAAGACGAGATGAGAGAGACAAAAGACAAATAGCAGTACAACCTTTCTCTCTCTTACACGCCTCTGATTGGTTGGTATTATATCAGTTCTTTTTTATCAGAGCTTAGGTTACATATATCTGCTCTGTTCCCCCACGACCGCCACTCGTCGATACGACTATACCTATATATACGGAAGGGGGCCAACCAATCAGAGGCGTGTAAGAGAGAGAAAGGTTGCACTGCTATTTGTCTTTTGTCTCTCTCATCTCGTCTCGCGGTCGGAGCATACAATGCTTCCTCCACGTATATATTCTCTAAGCTTAAATTAGTCTGTCATCTTGATCATCTTGATTAAAACTATAAAATCATCTGTTGACACAAGTCCTCATTTTATTCATCCATTCATTTATATTTGTATTTATCGACTATTGGTAACAGACTCTGAGGCCGCTGCAACATATATACCCGGTCGGAAATTCTAACTATAGGCTGCCACCATGGTAGGGCCTAGGTATAGCTAGGTTATCTATGTATAGATATATTATCCTCTTCCTAGTTGCTTACACACACATCAGTAATTGCATGGTTGCATGTTACAATATATATATATGTTGCTCATGTTAGAGTATGTGACTGTGAGTTGAGTGATTGTTATGACGTCGGTCGGTTGGTCCCCCTTGTATTGTAATATCACTGCTGACATTTGTTACACTTTTTATTGTAACCTATTCTCTCATATTAAAAAGTAAATACGCGCAGTCATCATTGGTTCACGCCTGGCTCACCACACGCTGGATTAATTTCGTAGAGATAATATTTGTTTCAATCTTAGGTTTTTTAAATTAAATTACAAAAATGGTGAGATGGAATCTTGTCAAACATTTTTTCTCCGTGTCGATAACATTGTTTGATTTTTCAGTTTGGATTTAACATGTTTCCCGAAACCCTTCGGCCCTTCAACACCCAGTATAAATGCTTCTCTGTATCTATGTTTCCCGGCAATGAACGCGAAGATGTTGAACGTGGAGGAAAAAGTAAGTGCTTTTCTGAATCATCTCTTTGTTTCTCTAAAACTCTTCACTTTTATTATTCAAAATTCGTTGCTCTAGTCATCATGCCACCTTCAGCCCTTGACACTCTAACCAGGTTGAACATTGTTTACCCAATGTTGTTCAAATTGACAAACAAAAAGACAAACAGGATAACTCACTGTGGTGTACTTGAATTTGTTGCTGACGAAGGAAAAGTGTATCTTCCCTATTGGGTCAGTTTGGCAATAAACAATTAATTTATTACTTTGTCCATGATGATTATAGTTTGTAAATTTTTTTTCATTGGCAGATGATGCATAATTTACTTTTGCAAGAAGGAGAGCTTTTAAATGTTGAGTGTATGCCTCTGCCGGTAGCTACGTATGTGCGTTTCCAACCACAATCAGAAGATTTTTTAGACATCTCCAACCCCAAGGCAGTGCTGGAAAATGGACTCAGAAGTTTTGCTTGTCTAACGACTGGGGATATCATTGCAATCAAATATAATTCACGCATTTACGAAATGTGTGTTTTAGAAACAAAGCCTGGTTCAGCTGTTACAATTATTGAATGTGATATGAATGTCGAATTTGCACCACCTGTTGGCTATAAGGAGCCTGAAAAGCCAGTAACCAAAGAAGAAAATTCTGTAGATCCAGTAGATCTGATGCCAGAACCAACAGGATTTGTGGCTTTCAAAGGGCATGGAAACCGACTTGATGGAAAGAAAAGGAAAGAATCGGCCCAAGTTGAAACAGCAACAGAAAAGCCAATTTACATAAGAGGAATACCAGACTATGATTACAACATAGGGAGTTTGAAATTTTTGCGGAATGTCAAACCAGTCAATAACAAGGAGGTGATAATGAAAAAATTGCAATTTTATTTTTGCACATACATAATTGACACATAATTTAATTAAACAAAAACATTTTTTTTTAATAGGTAAAAGATCAGGACGAATTCAAAGCCTTTACAGGAGAAGGTTTTTCTTTGCGCAAGTCAAAAAAGTGATAAAATTATGCTTCTAGACCACGAATTCATTACAAAAGGTTTTTTACAAAAGAAATTGTATACGCCTTAGTGCATACAGTACTCAGCACGATGTCGGAGTACACAAACTGATACAAAACGTGTTTTTTCATCATGTGAATATTATGTGAATACATGTAAAAAATATAATTATAAAAAAATTGTATAAGATAAGTTTCCGACTGCACCTACAGCGGTTCCATGATGATAATCGTTTTGAGCAATTATCGCGCGATACACGTAAAAAATAACTATTACCAACAATCGTATTTATTAATCTAATAAAAGCCATTAAGAGTGTGTGCTCGGCTTTGTGTGGTCTTGAGTGAGGAAAAACTCGCGTCCTAATTTTACAACTCTTTCAGATTGTCCCATCTTCATAGTGTCAACACGAATGAAGATAACAAGGTATCCTGAACGAATAAGTAAACACGATTTCATGTAATTGTAATATAAGATTAACTGCAACTCATCTCTTTTTTCTTTTTAACGATACCAGATATTCAATTATTGCTTAATAGACGTTATACAAACCGTAATACTTGAAGAAAAATTAAAATTTTTTATTTGAAATCCCTTCGTTTTTTTCTCTATGTACCGACTTAAATTTAGTACACTAAAAATATTCAATGAATTTTATGTTTTATACTAAATTTTTTTAAATATCAATCATTTCAGACATGATGCACTACTTACCTCAGTGTTTGGCCTTTGAGAGCAAGTTTTAAGACTTAATGGTAACATAGTTTTTTATTTACTGGCAATCATATTGGCAAGTAGTTCAACTGAAAACAATTTTATTGGTTTTTTTTTTTTCAGAGTCAAAGTTTTTGATACAAAAGGTTTTTCTTGGCTCCAATGAAAAGAATCATAAAACCACATTTTGAAGTCGTTTATTTTATTACAAAACAAAAAAATTACCTCTTTTACAAAAATGATGTATGCAATACAGTGCATGATATATAATACTCAGCACAGTATTGATGGTGCATAAAAAGATATATATGTAAAGTCGTAATATAAAACTTTTTTTTTAATTACGTAATATAAATATACGTCTAAGTATAAAAAATATATCAAGATAAGTTTTCAATTGTTTCTACAGCAATACCGTACGACGATCGTTTCGAGTAATTGTCGCGTAATAACTGTAAAAATGTATATTTATACATATAGGTGTGTATGTATCACTGCAACATGATGACTAACATTTTTCGACGCTGATGTTTATTAATCCACTAATGGTCCCCAAAAGTGCTTACTGGGCTTCGAGAGATTTTGAGTGAGGAAAAAGTCACGTCCTAATTTTACAAACTCTTTCAGACTGATTTTCCCATCTTCATTGGTGTCAATGTAAGTGAAGCTAACAACGGCATCCTGAACAGAAAAATTTTAAGTATCGTAATATTAATGCTTTTTTCATAATTATGAGCAACTAAAAAAAAAGTATTAATACATACATCATTATGTAAACCCAAACACTGGAAGAAGAGTTTGAATTCTTGGACTGAAATTTCTCCACTTTTGTCTTTATCCACAGCCTGCCGAAATGTTAAATTTTACTTGTTTAAAAATAAGATGCGTATTGTAAATTAATTTTTAGGGAGCATTCCTTGACAATCTGAATATTTTTATTTTCACAACAAAGTAATGAATGGTTTTGCAGAGGAGGGGGAAAGCCCGAAAATTTCGCGGAAGGGCGCAAAACGGTTTGTCTAAATTATTCGAATATGAAGAATAGGTTTTGTATGTGGTACCTTGAATAAGTACGGCAAGAAATTATGCACTTTTCGCCTAAGAGATTTGTCTTCGAGAACGTGATGCATAGCTTCGAGATATTTCTCAACATCAACTAGATTATATTGATTGATCTCACCCCACTGTTCTTCCCATGTTTGCTGAAAAATAAAAACGAGACTTACATTTAAAAAATCGCTGTAATCGTTCGTTTATGTTTTTGCGTGTAGTATTTTATGATACAATATGCAAGAATCTACATGTATATCTACATTTAATTCAGTTGACTTGAAAGGACATAGCATCAATACACAAATGTCACAGATATGTACATTATATTAAAAGATAAGATCTCATAAATAATACAATTTACAATTGACGATCGATCAATACATTTGCAATTATCTGAAACAAGTATATTAATTTGTATTCAGGAAGTTTGATTGCCTGAAAAAAAGATATAGATGAAAATTCCAGAATTCGGACCTTCGATTTTCATAAAATTTATTTTAGCGTTACGTTACAATGATTTTATTTTAAACTTGAAAAAAAATTTATTTGAAGATCGCACACTTCGCGATTTCCCCTTTTTCGGCTCCAAAATTAAACCTGGAGAAGCAGTCGGTAGTATCGATGGAAATTTTGAATACTTACGCGCAAAACCGACTGGAACTCCTCCTTCTGTCTGTCCGTGAGATGTCCAAGTTTGGCGAACCTATCGCCGAGCAGCATAAAGTCATCGTAGCTGAGGACTCCGTCCTTGTTGACGTCCAAGTGACTGTGTAAGGTCCTCATTTTTCGTCGCCAAAACGTCGATTGGGTCTACGTAGCGTTGAAAAGAAAAAAAAAAAAAAAATTATCATCTCAGTAATAAACAACCCCGTAAAATTGATAAAAAAGAAAGGACAATTTCCTCCGGGCGAGCATTAAGAGATTCAAAGATTCGTGTCAAGGGTGCATACAATTGTGTCATGATGTACAAGATATAACCCAACGCTCACGCAGTTATTGTACTTTGGCGGCTCGGGAAGAAAAATGTGATGTTTGTTGCGTCTACCAGAGAAACAAGCAGTGCACGGGTAGTTCAAGCCGATAACCTTCGGACGCTGCCTCTCTTTGTATTTTTTGGGCCCCTTTTACCGATCACTTTTTGATTTTTCTCGAAGACGCGGCTATTGACAGCTGCTGACGATCTTATCACGGTTAATGGGGATCGGTTTTCGAGTAATTGCTTTTTTTCCCCGATATCGAGAAATATGGGCGTGAAAGGGCTATGGACCGCGCAATAAATAATCATCCTCGCGTTAATCGTTGTTTTGTAACAAATTTCACGTTATCCACTGCTCTCGGCACAAGATAAATAAAACAAGTGTGTTATACCACGAAAAAAAAAAAAAAAAAAAAAACCGAGCTCAGTACAGTTGTAGCTCCGGTGTTACGAACCCGGGTCGAATCAACTCGAGAACTTGATTTTTATTCAACAGTAGCTCCCAGGTGTGAGGCCAGTTGGGGGATGATGGGGGTATTGGGTTGTTATTGGGGTAAGAATCAACCTTCCCCCTCGGACCCAGAGATGGTATAACCATCTTGACGATGAAAACCACTCGATTGGTACATGGACAGGAAAAATGAATGACTTTTCCAGATTTTTTCGAGATCGCGCGTGTGGGTACTGATGATAAAATGTTTTGAAACCTTTACAACTGTGGTAAAGTGGCCTTGCCTTTCAAGTATCAGTAACGAGAGCAAATCGTTGAAAGGAAAAGTTTGGAAGCCGCCCCGTGGCAATATTGGATAATTCATGATGTGCAAGTGTACATTAAATAAGCGTACAATGTTGTATATATGGATAGGCGCAGCCGAGATAAGCGTTCGCTAATCAAATCGGCTTTGGCAAAAAAAAAGTTAAGTCCGATTGTTATGCGTAAACCAACTAAACACTACAGGGGGTACTTGTTGGCTGACAATGCTCAAGTATTAAGTACCTACAGACGTCAACATGTAGTACGTATATTGTAACAGCTGAGGCGTATACGCATGGGTGCGGCGCGCGTGGAGAAAAAAAACAACAAGTTTTTCGATCGCGTACATTGTACGCGTGGTAAATATTGTCAGAAATGAGCGAATAAGAGACAAAAGGATGTTATGTTAATACGTGCTCACTCTGGAAATTTTTTCGTCGTCGCTGTCGCTATCGCTATCGCTGTCATCGTCCTTTTTGCGATCCTCGTCCAGAGACGTTGCCGTCCGCGTCTGATGGACATTGCGTTTGCTGCTCATCTCGCGCATGGCTGTGCACTGGATCTAGAAAATACACAAAATTTTAATTTACGCATAATCATTGAAATAATGAAAATTGAGCAGTGCAGATGCAAAATTGGCTTCTTGATCTAAAAGTGTTCAACCGATTTTGGGAAGAAAAAAAACACGTACACGAGAACTACCACCTGCAAATGAGATTTTTACCTACATCTCTTTAGCCGGAAGATGCTAAAAGCTTTTTTGGTGCCTAATTATTCGACTTTGTACGCATCGTACGCTGGATCGAATTTTTTTTTCCTTTTCGTTGATAATTTGTTCGCAAGTGCTTTTTTACAAGCACAGTTTGATGCAGTGGAAAATTGTCTTGATATATTATGTCAATACAATTGATATATTATGACATACACGTGGGAAGATTAATTTCAAGTACTTAAATACACAAAAATTTGAAGTTCAGGATATTCATAATCGTGAATTGGATATTTGGTCGCAAGATTGTTTCGTGAAGTTTTTCCGATCAAATTATTAAATCTCAAACAATAGGCTCAAGTTTGTGGTTTCGGAAAATGACGTACAAGTTACGTAATAGTTTGTTGTCGAAGTGAAAAATTGTTTTTGTAAAGACTGATCGAATCGCACAAGTGACGTATCGACGTTGAAAAATAAAAAATACATGTACAACGGGCTCTTGAAATTCGAGAGGTCAGATCGTATCGTGCAAAGAGCATCGCATTCAAATTCAATCTCAATTGATATTGACAGCATTTTTAAGGTACGACCTTGCTTGAAAAATCTTTTTTTTTTTTTTTTTTTTTTTTTTTTTTTTTTCCCCCCCCCCCCCCTTTTTGGTTTTTTTTTTAAAAAAAAAATTTTTTTTTTTTTTTTTTTTTTTTTTTTTTTTTTTTTCTTGATCCCGTCTCCCGTATACTTGGTGTTTTCGTTGAAAAGAAAAGTTTTTTTCTTTTTCTGAGCATTGCGCAAGAAAAAAGATTTGATACTATCGGTGTACATTATATATTTACATATATATTATGCTCCACTCCAAGGGGCAATACCAGCAGGTTGTTGTCTCTGATAGGCCCGTAGGCACGCTATTTTTCATGTTTACTGTCTACTTAGTTCGTAAGTATTAGGATTCTATATGCACGAGATTGAAAACTATACCTAATTCCTGTATCAGAACAAGTTTATGTACACGGTGAATTCGGTGACACGTATATTTGTTGTTACTTAATATTTTAATCGGTAACATTTGTTTTTACGAGTACAATAATTATACCAGGTAACTTTAATATTAGTATCTCCTTCGCATACAGGTAAAAAGAGAGAGAGAGAGAGAGAGAGAGAGAGAGAGAGAATTGCTAAACACTTACAACGTATAATTTGGCGATTGTTATATTTAAAGTTTCACTCGTATTTTTCATTTTTATAATTAAAATTTCATGATATTATTTTTACCGATCGAAAAATTTATCCAGCATCGGTTGTTTTGAAATTGCCGATACCGGTAAAAGACCCAAAATCAGAGGACAAGCTCAGCTTTGCTTTTATTTATTTTTTTTTTTCCTGCCGACAGATTACAAACAGATCCGACGGCGTGTCTCCGAATTAATCAGCTGATAAGTCAACTATATGATGCGTATATATTATACGATGGACAGAAAATGTATCTCTCACAAAGTATAGAAAAATAATACCTACTGTGTTCAATGTCATAACATTATACACATGAGCTGTTGAGTGTCATATGTAAGTAGAACTTTTATCGCGTTCATTCAACCGGTATACCTATCAATAAAGGGAATATAACAAAAAAAAAAAAAAAAAAAAAAAAATACTTGATGCTTTCACCGCAGCAGCTCACGGCAAACCAGTTCACCCGGAGTATATAGTTATATAGGTATACAAGTAACAAAACAAATCTGAATCGAACGAGATATGGTATAATACTTATCGAAGTGGCCCGATCGGCCTTTTATTTTTTATATATTATTGGTATATATAGGCATATATGCAGTGAGCGAGTGGCATACGAGATCATGGAATGGTGTAATACTTGCAAGTGTAATAAATAAGTGGGAAGCGAGACATCATATATATTGTGCCGAGGAGGAGGAGAAAGCGGGTTGAGATGCAGAAACGGAGAAGGAATAATTATATCCATGGCAAATAATATATATGCTGACTCCTGCAAGGCTGCTGATGCTACGCGCCTCGAAAGGATAGAAATGGGAAACAAAGAAGACGTGTCGTGCAGCTTTTAGCTGTACCTATCGAGTTTTAGTTTTTTTTTTTTTTTTTTTTCCAGATAATGGCATGGCCAAGCAACTTTTGTCTCGAAATAATAGCACACGCACCACAGGCACATACATTCACGGCTGTGAGCGACTCATCGGCAAAAAAGCTACTTGAAATCGTGCGTTTCTGGTTCACTTGTACAACGTAATTATCAATTATAAATGCATAAGTATTCTGTATACAAGTGTCCCGGTTTTTTATTCGATCGGCTTCAAGGCCCGTTTTTTTTGGACAACACAATGCAGTACTCTTATATACACCTCTATACATACGATGAGCACCAACCGCAGCTGTTGATATCCCTTGCATGTAAGTATAACAAGTAGGCATGTAAGTATGAAACGCGGGTTAACTGTTAATTTGAATTCGCGAATTGCATGTGCACTTTGCGGGTGTGTAGGGTATATGTGTGTGCAAATGGTGTACCTTGGGGCGATAGACGCGAGACGCGCCTGATTCCGGATGGCCGGCGCCGCAGCCGTGGAAGCTGGTGCAAGCCGCGGGAGCCAGCGTCCTCTCGAACAAGCCCTTGCCGACGAAGGCCGATCGCAGGCCCATCCTCATCAAGACAGTCGCCATTCCGGTGCACCGCTCCTGTCTTCCTTGCAGTTTCTCGATTTGAACTTGCTTTTTTTCTTATTTAAACAATATGCACCAAGTACAAAAAGACCGAAGCGCACAAGCCGTAAAATAAAAGCTGTTTGCCCAACGAGTACGAGTAAAGTTGCGTGGGTGCTATAAGTACCCAGTTGCAATGTTATCGAGTCCAAGTACCGAGACGCACTATCCGGGCGCAATCTCGTGCGGGTTCCTTTCACACGCGGAACACCGGCCACCACCGCGCCCCCTAGTTTACGCGCCCGGCCACTTAGCCACTATCGCCTATACCGGCCTCTGGAATATAACTCTCGGGAGCGAAGGAGACGGACGTGCTCCGACGACCCCGGACTGGCTGCCTACGTGCGATTTCTCAGATGCGTACATTACATATTTTTTTTTTTTTTTTTTTATACTATAGTGCTCTACGTCCGGCTCCTATAAAGGGCACTACTATGGGCACTTAGCACTTGGAAGAAGGAAGGGAGGCCTCCCATTACTGGGAGGGGGGTAGGGGGATATTAGGCAATTTTGCTGTGAGGAGGTCGCCTATACCCTCCTCGAGGAGCATTGCGTGGTGAAAAAGCACATGTGAAAAATCACAGAGGTACTTGCCCGAAAGTCGCACTGGCCGGGAATCGAACCACGGTCTCCCGTGTGCCGATCCACGACCTATAGCCGACCGAGCCACCGCGCGCTCTGCACATTACATATGACATACAGGCGGAGCAGAGGTTTTCTTGCTCTTTTATGTACACATATGTATATACCTTGTACTGATTATTATTACATAATTTGTAAGTGGAAGCGCGAATTAACTTGATACGAGCTGTTTGTGTTGCGATAAACCCACCAAAACGAACGTGAGCCCTTTTTTTTTTTTTTCCATGATGTGTCAGGACGCTAGAAGTATACCATACTTGCGCTATCCCTTGATAAACAATAAAGTTAACTTTTATGTGGTATTAGAATTACAATTTTTTTACAGAATAACAAAAAAAAAAAAAACTGTAGTTCACCTCAGATATGGTGATATGCGGGTAACGGCGTAGTATGTGTTTTTTTTTTTTTTTTTCTTTAATTATAACTCTCTGGTAACGTAACTAATAATAAATACATAAATTGATACTCGCGATGTTTTGATGAAAAAAAAAAAAAAAAAAAAAAAAAATGAAACCCCGGATTTTTTTGAAAAAAAAAAAAAAAAAAAAAAAAATGCGTTTTATCAGATATGGTGATATGCGGGTAACGGCGTAGTATGTGTTTTTTTTTTTTTTTTCTTTAATTATAACTCTCTGGTAACGTAACTAATAATAAATACATAAATTGATACTCGCGATGTTTTGATGAAAAAAAAAAAAAAAAAAAAAAATGCGTTTTATCAGAAAATTAAAAAAAACTTGAAATATTTTCCTGATGCTAATGCTATAATTTTAACGAAAGGGGCTAGGAAAGCTACTAATTTTTTGTGTACGATTACTCATGTGAATCAGGAAATCGGCGTCCATCTCCATGCATCAGAGTTCGTTGACTCTTAATTGTCGATACTTGTTTTGTACACACGTCACGAACCACACGCCTGAAGATTTAATGACGTATTAGGTACCTGTATTGTAATTACATTACACTGTAAACTTAAAAAACATGTTTACATGAAAGTAATGTGTAAAGTGCATGATCGCGATATCAGAGATCTGTACTTCATAAATAATGTTGCAGTCAATAAGAGGTCCCTCCTCTCTACTACATACCTGAATTGTCGATTAGTTCCATCACCTATACTCAAGTTTAATAATACGCAGTGTGTAGGTATACTATAGGATGTACCTGCAAAGAAAGTTCCGATAACATAAACGTGCAGCTTCACACTTTTCTTTTCACGTACAATACAGCCCTTGTTCCCCGCCGTCGCACGACATATTATTGAATCGACACTATACCTGCGACAGCATCATCTCCCCAATAACAGTATTACAAGTTTTCCTATAACCCATGCTGCGATTATGTAGTTGAAAAAAAAAAAAAAAAAATTTCTTTTAATCACACATTTTTCCAGTCAGACATTGACGTGCGATCTAGTTCGCGACGTAGCACCGAAGAGACCTCGAGACAGAGGAAGTTGGCGCACATGCAGTGACTGGTTTACGTGCTTTCAGTCACGTCTCCGCGGTTTTCCAAGACCCACCGAAGCTACGTACATTAATTTCAAGTTGCGTTGTCAAACCAAAGTATCAGCGCTTTTACAGGGCTACGTATATAAATATATACCTATCACCTATGTAATCAATGGCAAGAGATAGAGAAAAAAGCCTTTTTATCAACTAACGTTACATTCATATCAAAGGGTCACATACGTATTTATAATCTATGAGCCCCGCGGCGAAGAAATTATACGCTGACTGGATAAAAAGTTCTTTCTTCAATTTTATCGAACGCGCACACGCGTCTTGTAATTATACATGTCCTACGTGTGGTATATATATATATTTATGATATCTCGTTAGAAAACGTGCACCGCGAGGCACGAGTACATCCATTCACTTTTCACACGTACTAAGAATAGATAATATTATTACAAAGTTGGAATGCATTTCACTGAACGAATCGAATCACTATTCGGATGACAGTAGATAATGTTTTAACATGTGTAGGCACATAGCGATCGCTAACGAATACTATGGCACGTGATAGGGAGAGCAAGCATACTATATATATATATATATATAGTAGATATGGTGTTCGCCAGTCTATCATACTTTTGAGGGACAGGGGTATCTAAACATACATTGTTATTATAACGGCAGAGATGATAAGACTTATATCGGTTGTAGGAGGAAAATCGTTTAATTCTTTGTTACATCGAGCATAGGCGTAAGGAAAATAATGCAGTCGCGTTACGTGCTATGATTTTTCTCACTCAACTATAGTTTTCATTGTATGTACTTATGTATCTATATTTGTTGCCGCGCTCCTCCTGTTATTGCGAATCCGTAAGCCATTGGTTTTTTTTTTCTTTTTTTTTTGAGCCGGTATAAGCGTCCCGCATGGATCCTTTTTTCTTTTCCCATCGTTGGCAGAGGATATTTGCATCACTTTCGTATTTCCCGTATCACTTTTAACGTTTAATTAATGAAATCTTTCTATTTGTACGTCACTTAAGAGTAAGTATTAACTCGATTGGCTTATTTCATCATCAAAATTAAAGTCAATTCAGTTATGATTTATTTCTATTAAAATATTGAAGAGTAAAACACAGGGTTTAAAAAATCACTATTCTTTGGCTTCTCCAAAGACAAAGTAAATTATGTTTCAAGGAAATACATTTTTTATTCAAACTTATTCTATCTACGTCTGTAGAAATAAGTGTATGTATCATCAGTATATTGCAGGAGTTGCTAAGCGGATTTTGAGCTAACTGGGCTACCATCGTTTTATTATTTAACTATTATTAGCACTATCGAAAGTGAATTGCTTTTACCGTTCTTTTTTATTTTCATGTTTTTAGTAATTTTGCTTCGTTTAGTGCTCTAGTAATTGAAAACGGCTTATATACTAATATAATTATTGATACGGTTTATATATTCGTACTTTTTAGGGTATTAATGAATAAAATCTAAATAGTACTCTTTCATTGAATTTTTACAGGATATTAATTTGTACTCTTAAATTTTTCACTTTAACAGGATTTTGTCATACCAAAAACTTACAACGGTGATCGATGCTTTGTAAAAAAAGTTTTAATTAATTTAAGCTACCACATTAATTATGGGAAATGGTTGAAGATATTGTTTAAATAAAGTGCTGCTTCAAAATTTTAGAAATTATTAAAATGATTTTAACTTTTTAATAAAGAGATCAGCTTCCTATAAGACTGTGAAAAGTAGACAATAATGTTAATTAAGAATTGGCTATAATTAAAAGTACAAATTATGAAACATGGAAATAAATCGGAGAGTAACAAAACCAATCAATTGGCTACAATTTTTACAGAAGTTGATTTCAAGCGTTCAATACCTCTGTATGTAACTAGTATTACAAAAAGATGAAAAAAAAAATTAATTTTTGTTTAAAAAGAATTAGACTATTTTAAAAACTTTATACTATAGGATATGGAAAAGAAATGAATTGCAATTTAAGAAACTTAAAATTTATTACCAACATACTTTATTCGAATCAAACTTTAAGAGCATACTTTCGGGGTGGGAACGCAGACTTTTTGCGGATCTCCTTCATAGTCTTCCTGCTAGCTTCAAAAGGAGTAAGTTTCCTGCGAATAGCCCTGGTCTTTTTTGGCCTCAGGTCAAGAGGCTTGTACTTCTTGTTTTTGTAAAGGAGACGGAGATTCTCCTTCTGTTTTTGGTGCATAACAATGTACACCCTAGCAATAGCTTTGCGGACGACACGACTGCAACATAAATAAACAGTGTCACATAGGTACAAAATAAAATACGTTGGCACAAGCTTTAGCAATGATTTACTCACATCTTGGAGAGCTTGGACGCAGTTCCTCCAGTAACTTTAGCTACTCGCAAGCTGGTGAGCTCAGTTTTGAGCACATCCAGCTGCTTCATCAGCTCCTTCTTGTCTTTGGTCCGCAGCTCCGAGCACTTGACTTTACCCTGGAACAATCATCAAAAGCATGTCAAAGCACATCATCATAACCTCATCATCAAAACACAATGTTGTAAACTTGCACGGAATCACATATTAATCAATATTTTTTCTTTGCACATGCAACTATTCGAAAAATATACACCAAGTCACAAACGTGATAAATTGTAAAGTTTGAGAACTAAAAATTCTAAATCAAAGCTACAGAGCCGGACGGGTCGGTCACGATTTTCGCGTAACGTCATATTTGTTCGAATAACTGTTGTTGCATTCAAAAAGTATAATCACAAATGTATCAATCGTTCAATTCGAATTTTTAATATTTTATCTGATGCTTTCAATAAAAATAGATTGCAAAAAAACTTGTCAACTAACCATTGTGTCGGATTTTGAGTGAAAGAAAAAAGAGTGGGGGAAAAGAGACACGGCGCGATGCACTGCACTGTCGAAGGTTGAACTTGAAGCCAGTCACAACTGTGCGTCGATTAATCGAAAAAGATTTTTTTTTTTTTTTTTTAGTACACTCGAAGTATCGAATATTTTTGTGTCGGCATGACCGCGAAAATTCAAATTAATTAAATTTTGTATCGCTTAACATAAACTACTTACGTATACGTCGAGAAATTTTATTCATTTTTTTTAGGCATAATCTCAAGCACTATTCTTTGAAAAAAAGTTTTGAACATCGTAACTAAATTTAAGTCAACATTAAAAAAAAAAATTGTTTGATAAGGTGCGAGATTAAAATATTAAGAAATCTGAGAGATTGAAGAAGTAATTGTAGTTGTAAATTTAACAGTCCCGAAAAAACTAAAAGAGTACTTATCACAGAAACTACGTATCTATCAATATATCAAAAAAAATATTTCTTGTTTCTTTGACAAACGTTTGGGTTACGAACGCAGGTCTATTATGTATGTTCAATTTTTTAATAATGGCAATGTATTAAAGTAATGAAGCCATAATTTTTTCCCACATGGAGCAAAACTGTTTATTTTATTTCGTTAATTAATTAATCAATGACTGTTTCCTAGTACACAAAAATTTGCTGTGAGTTTAAAAGTTTTTTGCTGAAACATTTCGTTCAAGGCATATGACTCCAACATTCGATGCGCCATTTGAGATGCTATATCATGATTGGAGTGAACGCAAGAGTCATTGCTCCGAATATTATAAACAGTACAAGTATGCATAAACTTGTGTGTTGTGTGTAGCGTGCACGTAACGATTTCTCGGCACCCGATGACAAGTAAGTAAGTATGGTAGTATATTTACTGCATCAAATGAGTGCAAAAACAGATTGCCGAAGGGGAATCGCCGGCTCGCTGATAAAGTTTATTTCGCTGAATCCATTCAAGCTTGATTTTCTCTTGAACGACTTCTCCAGTCTTTTCACCCTCCCGTGACCCCCATAATCCGCAACGCACCCCTACTGGCGACCAAATCCTCCGTAGGGAGGCACACAATACTTGGGCAGTACCTACAACATTGTGAGCAATGCGAATACGCGAGAGAGAGGTGATACTTATATTATAGGCTCGCAAAGTTGTAAATGTCCGCAACCTTTTTTTTTTTTTTTTTTTTTAATCGAAGAGCCGTGCAACTCGCGAACGGCCAGAGAGCCGCAGAGTGCAAAAAGAAATCCCTTAGTTGCCTTTGAGCATTCGCTCTTCGAGCTTCGAGTCGTTGTAATGTTGTATATGCGCTAACAAGGGCTGGAGGCTAAAAAAGGGCACCTATACCTACTCGTTACTTGGTTACATCCCCTACTGTAGCTAGGTAGCTACCCCCCTAGAGAGTGGAAGTGAGTGTGTAAAGTACCTATAAGCCGATGTCAGACGCCAGTCTGCGGCTCGGCCGCTCAACCATCATCGTCGAGAGAATAACCAAGACGACCACGGCGCACAAGTATAGGTACATATCGACCCGCACTGCTGCACCAGGAGTCGGACTGTCATGATTTGAGCAGAGGAGGGAGGCCGAGGTGCATTTGATGTAGAGATTTTGGTAAGTTTTTTTTTTTCCCGGCCCAACTTGTTTTATGTCGTTGCTTTTGTTTTAATGTCTACGGTATTATTGTTTATTGTATTATTATTTTCATCATCAAATCCTGCTGTGTGTAATTATATACACCTATACTTGCAAAAAAAAAAATTAATTTCTGCCCCCTGATAGGTACGTGAATTTCGCGTGCGCGTCACGACCTGTATTTATATTTATGCTAAGCAGTGTTAACATATATACAGGTATAGCGTAAGTGTGTGTGTGTGGTTGTGTCGCATACGTGAATGTATGAGAGAGTGAAAACTATAAAGTACTTCTCGGGTTCTCGGTATCTCGGTGTTCTCGGTGCTGGCGCCCGAGAGACGTGTTTTTTTATTTGTTCCCTGTTGCTGTTAAACCCGGATGGGATGGGCTGGGCGTAAATCGCGAGGTATACTGTGTTTCGTGCACGCGAGGACGACGATGACGACGCTGCTGGACGTTCGCCTGACAATTGTCTTTCGGGTCATTAATTTGACAGGGCCCAGGGTTTATACGTCATTACATTAGGTACGGGAAAAAAAAAAACGTTGCACATGAAACCATAAGTTTTTGATAGCGTAGATTACTTGTTACATAATGAGTAGCTCGTGAATATTGTAGTACTTATTTCTCTTTTGGCTTATTTTTTTTTTCTCATAAGTATAACTGCATAGCTTCCATTTGTTTACTATTCTTCAGGTGTACGCTAAAGACTTGTTGAAAATGTTTTTCTTGTTTGATGATACATAGGCTTAGTAATGGAGGATAGTGTGAGTGTCAAATCTACTGAATCAGTGGCTACCAGTGATGAGTATGAATTTGTAAGCGAAAAAATTTCTGTCAAACAATCACAACCGCCTCTGCTCAATATCGCCAACAATGGCAATCTAGAAGATCTCCAGAACGATTTGCAAGAGGTACGTGTTTTTTGCACTATTCAATTAATGATCATCATTAGTCATGCTATACTTGTATATCCGATCTTTAAAGGGTTATACATCAAACGTAGACAATTTAGTATGTTGGTTTTGTGTACGTTTTTATGCTGCACAGAAATTTTTTTTTCTGGTGAAGGACCTTTAATCCTTGACACCAAACTTGTATAGATGTTGTTGTATTTTGAACACTTTGAACAACTTCATTTACTGGCAGTAATTTTATTTTGTCAAATTTTTAACATCTAGTAATGTTTAATTATCCTTTTTTTTTCTGTTATTCATCAAAATATAAAATTTTCATTCAAATTTTAGATTTTAACTGAAGAATCCAAAATGGACGAAATTGGAGATACAAAAATAATATCAAGCAATATATCTAGCATACAAAAAACAAAAACTATCGGTCAAAGCAAGTTTTATGATGTTTCTTCAACCGAAGTAACACCAGAAAAACAAGATGAAATGAAACCAGATGATTACACAGATGCCTATGGTAAATACTCCCAACAGTTTTGATAAAATTGATTACTTATGTTATTTTTCTGATAAAGTAATCAAACAATATTTTTCATTCAGAATTAAACATCCTACTAGATGAGCAGCAGGATTATACAAAATTTGATGCTGTTACATATCTTGGAGCAGCGCAAATTAATGCTCCAAAATCGGAGGCGGAGATTCAAAGAAACATGAAAATATTGGCTGAGCACTCCTCTGTGCCTATAAAAGTATCTATATCCGTGCCAAGCTGCTCTCAAGGAAGTGTTATGTAAATTTCACAAAATCAAATAAGTAGAACTACTTTTCTCGTTTGACACTATTCATTAAAATTATTGTAAATTTTGTATAGCTTGTATGACTCTGCAACGCAACAGCCAATCAAAAGTTATGAAGTTCAGCGCATTCTTTTTTATGCCCGAGGAGATAGCACAGGCCCTTGCACTGCATGCTTTGCCTTTACTTGGTCTCACGGAGATACCCAAGAATCGGCTATTTTTCAATGTCATGTTTTTCGTTGTGATATACCCGAAGCTGTGAGTAGACTTTATCAAAACATTTTTCCAAAATACAAATAATTTATTCAGAAAATATAAAAAACTTGAATAAATTAATGTGTCATGAAGTACATTGAAGCAACTATAATTATTTGATAAATTTTTTTTTTATGCAGGTGAGACAAGTATCTTCATGTTTTGCTAAAGCTTTTCAAAGGTTTCCTAGATCAATGACCAATTCCTTAACAGGCAGCGATTTTAACAATGGTTTCAATCCTGTCAATGATAAAGCAAATTCAAGAGTGTTCATTTTTGAAGTCACAATGGAAGTAAAAGAAGAGGATGGAAAGGGTGCTTACAACACTGTTCCCAAAGATAGGAATTTTTTTAAGTTACGTAGTAATGTTCCAAAGCAAGTATGTTTAAGCATACAACAAGTCAAAGAGGGTGGCATCTCTCTCGAGGTAGAAAGATGTTTTGGTGTTTTAGTCAGTCCTGGTCGTAATGTTAAGCACAGCGATATGAGATTGTTAGAAATGGTAATATTTTTTTTTTTTTTCAGTGCTGATTAAAATAAAATTTTATTGTATTATAATTAATTTGATTAATTTCCAGCAGATAAATAACACACCAGTGTCATCTGAAAATAAAAACTACAACGTTTCTGGTAAATGGGATCCAGCTGATCCTGCTCTAGAAAGTTTAAACGTTGAAACTCCTCGAGAAGGAAAAATTTTTATGACAGTAGCCGTAGATTTAGTAATCCGTGGTATAAGAGAACCAGTGAGATTTGTAATTGAAACATCTGTAAAAGTTTTTCCCCAAAACGTAAGATTTTGGTATTTTACCAAGAGAAACCTTGTTCAACAATTTTTTCTCAATTCTAAAGAGGTTACTTTCATTAATTTTTTAATCGAAAACTATTTACCTACGTAATTTTTTGTACTAAATAGGTTATTTGAAATGTTTAGATAGTACTGAATGAAGGCGCCGAGATCCACTATGAAGTTCAAAACATCGAGACATCCGGGGAAATAGATAGAAATAGACTAAGTCTACCTTTAAATTTGGCGTCATTGATTAAGTCACCTTCCTTGACGAGTATCGATACTCTTACCCCCAAGGAAGAATATGATTCGGACGGGGATGAGCCAATGTTAAGTGGTACTGGCGAAGTTTCCAAAGACTGCTCAGCAGACGAACTTGCCAATTGGGCCGAAGTGATAGATAGTTGGCAAGTTAATGAACAACGTCCCAAACTTCTTGTAAAACTAACGAAACAAGGTATACCAGAAGCTCTCAGAGGCGAAGTGTGGCAAAGGCTTAGCAACTGTGACAATTCTCAAGAAATGATGGACAAGTACAGAATGCTCATTACCAAGGTACACTTGATATTTTTAATTCGTGTGCTATATTTTTATGAATTGAAAAAAAAATTTTTTGTCTTATTTACTACAGGAAAGTTCTTGCGAAGGCGTTATTTTACGAGACATTAACAGAACATTCCCTGCTCATGATTTTTTCAAAGAAACCGGAGGTTTGGGGCAAGATTCTCTGTACAGGATAAGTAAAGCATATGCTGTGTACGATGAAGAGATTGGTTACTGTCAAGGTCTTAGCTTCCTTACTGCTAGTTTGTTGTTACATGTAAGATCTTTTCTTTATTGTGGACTATGTATTTTTGAAAATATTTAAACATGTATTTTTGTTTTAGATGCCTGAAGAGCAAGCATTCTGTATTCTGGTTAAATTAATGTACGATTACGGATTGAGAGATTTATATAAAGACAGATTTGATAATCTACACATGAGATTTTATCAACTAAATCGTTTGATGGAGGTAAATCAAGCTTAACGAAATTTTATTTCACTTTATTCCATTTTAAATTTAAATATCAGAAAATCATAAATTTATAATTGCAGGATCAGTTGCCTGATCTCTACAAGCACTTCTGTGATCGCGGCATAGAGACGCACATGTTCGCCGCACAATGGTTTCTCACCTTATTTACCGCTAGGTTCCCGTTATATCTGGTTTTCCACATTCTCGACGTTTTCCTGCTTCAAGGATTAGATACATTGTTTCAAGTTGCTCTTGCCCTTTTAACAGTAACTTTCGACACACTTACTTCTTTATTAAAAATAATATTGTAATCTAACTTTTACCTTATTACCCTAGCTATGCAAAAAAGAATTACTTCTGCTCGATTTTGAGAGCACGCTTAAGTACTTCCGAGTTCACTTGCCGAAGCGGTGCCGTAACGAAGAGGTATCGCGTTACGTTATGAAGCTTGCCTGCTCGATAACACTTAAGAAGCTAAAGAAGTATGAAGCCGAATTCTTGGCACTAAAAGGTAATTTTGTCTTCTACGTTTAATGTGTTTTTGTATCACGTTAGGTGTGGGAATACAAGGAATACTTGCACATCTCCATTGTACATACTATAGTCGAAAAATCAGTATCGTGATAAGACTTTTTCCTTACTAATAATTATTTAAGCTTTTAAAGATTTCTGTATGGTTTTATTACTGGTAGGACATTAGCTCGTTTTTTTTTTTTTTTTTTACTAAAAAACGTTTTTTTTTCGTTAGCAAAAAAAATGTATTATTTAATTAACGTATGCTAATGCTAAACTGGTGCCATAAAGTTAATTATTTGGTTTTATTAGTTTGTTAGAATAAATAAATCAAATTTTTGTATTGGAAATCAAATTACAGGTTGCGACACAGTCTCGTTTTCATTGTTAATTTTGTCGGTAATATATCGAATTTTCAACGCAACGTGTAATAGAATAGTCAGTATAAAAACTTGACTTACACATCACCCATTAAAGCGAAAAAATTTACATCTATACGTTTGTTAGTATAGTTTCATCAAAACTACTCCCAACACTGTGATTTATTATAACTAACTAAAAGATTAATTATTGTTCTTTTATTATTTGTGATTGATATTATTACTGATAAGATATTGACTTTCACTTGTTAGAAGCTGCAATAAAAAGAGAATTTAGAGTATTTAGTGTTGTACTATTTATGCTAGAAGCTTGTATTAAGTATTGTAGTTGTTATAATTACGTGGAAAAAAGTCGAAATATTTTTTTAATAAATTTACAAAAACAACTTGTCTCAATTTAGTCAAAGTTTTATTTTAACGAAATGTAATTTATCTGTTTTTTAATTTCGACTTTTGGCTTTTTTGCACTGTAGATCTAAATTTAACATTAGAGTCCTATCCAGTAGACTGTTTTTGATATGCCATTTGCACACAAATTATTAGTTAAAAAAGAAAAAAAAAAAAAAAAAAAAAAAAAAAAGAAACAATGGGCTGTTTACAATTTTAAATGGTGCGTTGCATGCTTGGTGCGACGTATAGCGCGTGCAAGTCAACGCAACTCAACTGAAAGTTTTTCTCCTTGCTACGAGACTGGAATGTTTATTAACATTTTGTTGAACGCTTGTGCCTCTCATTCTCCTCTTTACGCTTCACACTCACTCGATGTAAGTAGTTAATTTTGGTTTTATTTTGTTCAATGTCCTTGCCCTCTCTCATTTTAAGGTGTCGGTATTTGCTTATTCAAATGTATTTTAGTAGGGGGGGGAAAAAAAAAAAAAAATCCGCGACGCACATTACTTATATCACCGTCTCAGCCATTTTCCTTTGTACAATGTATTATAATCATCTCACGGAAGAAAAGAAAATTGTCTCATACATAAAAAAAAGAATAAAAATTAAGACCAAGCAAAAACAACATGGCATATGTGTATTTTGCAGAGGACGATGATACCGGAACCGGCAAGAGGAGAGCAACGCTGGCCCTTAAAAAGCGCCTAGCTAAAATCGAAAAGTACAGCAGTAGGCTAAACGAGTACCTTAACAAAAACTTCGGCCTAACCGATCTTCCCTGTCTAAATCTCGAAGAGCTGCAATACTTTCAGTGACCAAGTCATGTTCAGTCGTCGAGTTGAGTCCTCCTTCATTTTGATCTCTCTCTCTCTTTCTTTCTTTTTTTATTTTCGCTCTTTTTTTACATATACATTATTTTCTTCTGCACAATGCGAGTTGTTGTTTCTTGCCGGTGCAGCACTGTTTGACTTTTTGGATTTTGTACTTGCGTGATATGATACATACCTCTAGTTACTACGAATATGTATTTGTTAATTATTGACTTATTTATAAATATATTTGTTTTGCGGATATAATAATGTTTGATCGCACGTGCACTTAAGTGAGAGAGGTGATAGAAACAGTTTATTTTTTAACTCTTTGATTCTCGGCTGTGTGAAACTATAAGCAATAACGATTTATGTATTTTTTACTTGTCAGTCGAAATCGAGTGCTTCAAATCAAACGCACACGTTTGTGTGTGTGTGTGTGTGTGTGTGTGTGGTTAGCGTAAAAAGGAGCGTAAGCAGAGAGATTGAGACAGCAGAAATTGATGTTATCACATAGTGAACCGAAACGCGAGTAAATGACGATTATTTTCTTGTTACGGAGAATATAATATTCTTTCTATACGTTTTGTTTGTTTTTTTCGTTTTTTCTGGTTTTTTTTGGTTTTTTTAATTTTTTTTTTTTTTGTTTTCTAAAAAAAAATTTCACGTTTTCAAGATCTGCTGACAATAAAATGGTCCTCTTGAATATCTTTTAGTTTTCATTTGGTATCCCTTACTATTCCTTTGTCCATTTCCACTTCTATTATTCAAAGCTTTTGGGTATATGCACAAATACGTTTTTTTTCCCAGTGTTATTTTATAATGTTGCATCTTAAAATCTATATACCTACATAAATGTAGTCACTAACTGCACACCTACAGTATGTATAATAATAGTTTGGCTAAATTACCATTTAAAGTAATGCACTGAAACGAAATGATTATTTGATACTTGATGTGATGTGCAAAGCTTGGCTTTTTGTATCTGGTTAGCGCGTACAGAAACGCTTGATTTTTCCATACCGATGGGGTGTATTTGCACGCTGGAGAAGGGTTTTACGCATATACCTATGGTGTAATTTTGAAATTCCATATCTTGAAAACTGAACCAACTACATGATACACTCCTGTTGATTGAAAATACACCACATAATATGTACATCGTCGTGTCTCGGAGTATTATCAGGATGTCAGTACCCCTACATAATTGAAGTACGCGGTCTTTGTAAATTTTCGTATAAACATACGTAATTTCACGCAACTCATTGCAACATCGTATCTAGTTCTTACTTGATTTTATACGTGATTTTTCTTTAGTTTTCATGGATTTTTTTCCTAGAAAATTAGTGGTTACCGTGAAATCTCGTATTATGGTGCTGTAGGGTATTGTGTAACTTTCCCAACTTGAACAAAAACGATAACTGATAATCCTGATAACGGCCCGTCATTAAGTAGTCTTTACAGTTGTCACAGCCTGAAAAGCTGCGTAGTAGAGAGTCGAAACTTGAAAAAAAATTAATAAAGCCCAGATGTACGTAAAATGTGGTAACGTTAAAGCTCATTGGAATTTGACTTCTGAGAATTTAAAAATCAACCGAGGAAAGGAAAAATGATGTTGAGGTCGCATGTTTTTCACCCTCAACTTGGTCTCCGGCATAAATGCGCGTCTAATAAAATTATAAAATAAAATGATTTAAAAGATCAATCAAATTTGACGAGGAGTCCTGTTGGTATAAAAGGTAAAATGGTGGATTGTGCAAAAGTATTTTGCATTATTTTTATGATTCGTAAAAATGACAAGAGACAGACCGACATATTAAACATTTGCTTTGCGTTGCAAGCATATTCCGTATTGAAAAATTGGCGCTGCCATGTCAATAAATTAAGTTACAGGCTAATAGAGTTTAAGGAAAATCGGTAAATTCATAAAAATGAAAATTCAATCAATGGTACGGTAGAAAGTTTTCATGGGAACTCGAATGATTCGTGCTACTTCTTTTTTTTTGTACTGATACAAAAAATATTTCGAGCTTGCAATTTTTCTAACATTCATCTGTGTAGGAACTCTTCTTGCGTGCGAAGCGTGGGTTAGCTACAGGTTTGAATGACAATGTTCGCACTCATGAAAACAAAATCACCTGTCCCGCGCATTAGTTGCGCAACCGTTGCACAACGATACTTAACGATTTTACCTTTTTTTTTCTAAGATTTCGCAAAAAATATTTTTTTATTATCAGACGAGTAGTGTCAATAGTGGCCAAACGCACGTTTGATATCGCGTCTCTCTGTGCTGTAGCTGTTTATTTTTTCGTTAGTCATGCGATTAATGGATTCGATAAACAGTAACAAGTAATATTGAATATACTATACTTATAAAAGTGAAAATGGAATTATAGTCGATGTACCGAAATTACAGAAAAATCGAGATAACATCGGCGTATTTGGGAAACGTGAAACTCCCAACCGTACACGTGCACGAAAAAGCAATTATGTTATTCAAAAAATATTCCCGAAAAGCACAAGTTGCTTTCGATCGACCTTGGCTCGATAATTTTGTATACGTGCACACTAAAAAAAAAAAAAAAACCCCCGAAGGTACACCAGAGCCTCGTATTCTCGCGCAAACCAGACGCGTTATCAGCGCTCGTGTACCTATCTTACGTTTGCCAGCTGTTGTTTATACATATAGGTCTGATAAAAGGAAAACAAAGTAAAAAAATATATACACAATATATATATGTGCGAAAAGAGTTTTCTCGCGCGATCGAATCGATGTATACACCACGCCACGCCTGCGATAAAAGCCTATACATATACCTATGTAGTATTTACGATAAGATCGCAAAGCCCGATTTCAGGTGCCCTGTCACTTTAGTGCACCCATACAGCCAAATACTAAACCGATCGTTGGACACGGGGTGAGGGGGGAGGCTGACAATTTTTCAATCAACTCTCATCGTTGGATCATTGCGCGCGGAGCAAAAAAACTTTTTCCCCCGAAAAAGGTAAACCTATTACAAGCAACATTGGACTTTCGTTAAACTGAGTTTGGACAGCGCGCATATACATGTAACCCGATCGATCGATCGGTAATGAAATTTTCGATGAAATCTCCAAACTCTTCTAAAGCAACGCTCGTCCGGTCGACGACAAAAAAAAAAATGATGACGGTCTTCGTCAATTAAAGCCAGTTAAGGTCACGTGGTCTATTTATCTTTCCCGAACAAAAAACTGCGCCTACGCTCGCTTTTGGCGGAGAAGGAGAAGAATGGGGAAGTCCGCGTTCGAAAAAATTATCGCTCGAGGTGGTGAAAAAATTAACAGCGAAGAAAATAAAAAAGCTGCGGCGATCGTAAGCTTAAGGGTATAATTATTTGATGCGCACATTATTTCGAGGTATACCTATATATTATATATATATTATGTCTCGGTAGTCGGACATCAGGTGGTATACATGAGAGTGGAAAACGCGCGTGTGTGTGCTGTTCGACAAAAAACGCGTGCGGATTGCGGGGGGCGGGGAGGGGGCAATAGCATATATATCGCAGTGCAAGCGGAGCAAAAGAGCGCGTGTCGTAAGCCGAAATACTTATGCACGCACATGAGTATAAGGTTAATATCGTTTCGTTTTCGGAGCAATCTCTCTGCACAATATGACAAGATCGTCTCTCTCGCTCCCTCCCATTGAAAGTCTGCGTCTCTCTCTTCGCAGTTGCCGTAATATCTTTCCTCTCTCCCTCTCTAGCGTGGATATACATTTTTATATACCTATACACACGCATCAGCACCAGAGAGAGCGCAGTACATTTTGTTACATTGGGTATAGGTGCAGCGCTCGGTAGCAGTAACAACACAATAATATATCGGCCAGTGATCGGCTGACGCTCAGCTGTACCGGACGCGCGTGTGGTATCATCATCGGTATACGATATACATACATACATATACACACAATAACATCAAGAAATACCAAATACTTGCAATGGCGAGAAGACTTCTCAACAGTAAGGAAACGATTTACTTATTGAGCGCAATTTTTTTCGTGCATGGCTTTCTTTTTATATTACACCTATGGTTATAACCTACGTATTTTATATTCTCCAATTTTTACGATAGAGCCGATAAAAGTTGCGCAGTTTTCGAGTAGACTCTCCAAGTAATGGGCTTGTTGAAGCAATTTTGGAGATACATCCAATGCACGTGCTTTCTCGTATAATGACGTGTGCTTGATGTTTTTTAACACTTGATCATTAAGATAATAATTACCTTTATTTTTACTTAAGTATTTTTTTTTTTAAATTATGGTCCTTTTCGTGTGCTCTTGTGTGTATATACCTATCCAGTTTTGGGTTGTTATCTGTTATTGTCGCAAATCACAAAACAAGGTGTAAACAGGTGGTGGTGCTTCGACAGATTGTCGCTCGCAAATCGTTGATGCGTTGAATTTATTATCGTCCTCTGTTACGAAACAACTGAAAGATCGCCTATTATGCAGGTCCGTTAGTAGGTGTAAATTAGTTTTTTACCGCGCAGTATCATAATTTCATTTCCCCCTTCTTCCCCTCGAGCACTCGATAAATATATGATGTTGTTTATAGGCCAGAGTACATTATTTTGTTTTAAACATGTCACCATAATTTGTTATTACCATTATTTGATCGTCGTAAACAATAATATTTATTACATATGAAGATGGTCCATAAGTATATATGTAGCGGTGACGATTTTTGCGTGTCGAAACAATTCGATCCGCAAACAACTGTCGTCTGCAAATATTAAGATATACCTTTGATATAAGTAATCGAGTCAACATATTACAGAGAAAAATGACAATACAGTCTGTAGAATAACAAATCGTTCTCGAGAGGCAGCGAGTCGATTCACTTAGCAACGAAAGCACAGAGTTGGCACTCTTTTGACACCTGATGCGAGCGTGTGACACGTGTTTATCTGTTATTTCGCGGCCCGGGGCGGGGTATAGAGAGGAACTTCAATGTACATAAAGCAGGCAACCGATCGAGAATTAATTGGCTCGTGAGTGATGGTATACTGCGAGACGCGATATTATACTAACTACAAGTGCAATGAACAGATACATCAGGAGTGGGTATATTCATATGCGGTTGTTGTTGTTGTTGTTTGGGCTAACGTTAGTTTTGATGGCTCGCAGAAGCGCAAGAGAATGCGGACGAATTCAGTAACGAGGTGGAGCAGCTCCGAAGCGCCGTGGCCAGGATCGACGAGGAAAAACAGCGCCTCGAGGTCGAGCTCGGCCAGATCAAGGAGATGCTGCAGCGCGAAGTCACCAGGGCCGACTCGGAGAGCCAAAGGAACTCCGTTATCATTGCCGAGTACAAAAAGGTACTACCGCTTACTTGTATGCACGAAAAATTTCAATCTCATTTTAAACAATATTTATTGCTATAACCAGTTTCGTGTATAAGTACCCATTGCGACTAATCGTTTTACACGTGTGCATAGATTTGTCAGCGCCTCGAGGATGATTACAATACTGCTAAGGCGTCGCTTAGTGACTTACGCGTAAGTTATTTTTACCATTACTATGATAATGTAAATACCCTTTTATCGCTCTGTATAATGTATATGCATTGCTGCAAGTGTTTAGATTTTTAATTTTCAAAAGTACGGGCATATACGTATTATTATTATCAGCTACGATTGGTAAACTTTCTCTGCATTGTCACGAAAAGCATATACAATGACGAAATTACAAATGTAGTTTGTGTGTACATGTACGAGTAAAACTTGATCGGTTCGCAGACAAAGATCTCGAAATGTGAAAACTGCTCGAGCAGCAACAAAGAGGAGCCCAGGAGCGCTGCGACGACGCCCACCAGCACCGTATTGTCGAACGCCCCGGACATCCGGGTGGATCCGATACTAAGCCGCGCCCAGGAGCGGGTCCGCGAACTCGAGCTGGAACTCGCACAGACGAAGCTTGCCCACGTCGAGGCAGAGTGCAGGAACCAGGTAAGTCTTGAACCAATCGTTTTCTTTTCTCTCGTGTGTCTAATGCGGCGCTGTGATATTGATAATGTCTCTCTTTGAAACAGGATCTGACGCACCAGTTACACGCGGCTGCCGTTGAACTCCAGACAGCGCGTAACACCTGGCCACCCTGGCTGAGCAAGACCTTGTCGAGTATCAAGGAGGCGGCTAACAAGCGGCAAGACGTGATCGGTGGTGGCGCGAGTATCCTCAGACGGGACAGTGCGCCCGCGGGTGCCGAGGTGCGACACAGCGCGATACAACACAGTAATCGCGACAGCTTGAAGGAGGCCGTTTGATACGAAGATAGCGACGCGCTGCTCGTCGCGGGACTATTTCGGACCTTCTGAGGCGCTGACCATTATTTTTTTTTGTAAGATTCGAGAGAGCAGCTTTCCTTCGTTGATTTCTGTATTACATGTACGTATGAGATTACGTGTACACCCACTGCATAAGCGGTCATCACTCTTTCTTTTGTGCACTGCTGTTTGCGAGGAGTAACGGCTGTTATTGCAGTAGCTTGTAGTAGTTCGATGAATGGATCGCTTTTTCATTGGATTTCGTGTGGCCGAATTCACAAGTTATTTATTTATTAGCTGTTGGGAGAGTGTATTTGAAATAGAAAAGACAAATAGTTCAAATTCAAAGCCTGTATTTACTCACCGACGACATGGAATCATTCGCGAAAATTTCTGATCGCCATCAATGAAAATTTTTTAAAGACAAAAACAACGCTTTTGTTGTATACTCAATTCATCGAAATTAAGCGAATATTCATTATTGCAAGCAGTTCGAATCCTAATGTACGTAAACACTCTCCACTTAGATTTAATCTTGATATACATATATATATATATTTACTTAACGTTTAAAAGAGAAAGACGCGACGTCACGGTCGCGTTGCACCGTGCACATAAAGTTCGACTTCGACGTGCTGGCTGCTCTGTATTCCTTGCAAATAAAGATAAAATAAGATAAGCAGTAGTTAAAGTGCGTTGAACGTAAAATTTATTGTATAATTTTTTTTACTTTGAATGTTAACAAGGCTTGTTAATAGCCGTAGATGACTCTTTGTTGTAAAATCAGCGTAATAATTACTTTTTTCAGTGATCGGTAAAAATAACTTTTTGTATGTTTTGATAAAAAAAGCAAGTTGACTTGCAAAATCGTGTAGATTTAAGTTGGGATGATTGAATGATCGCAATACAATGCAATATTATCAATACGAGTCCATCAAGTTACTTTGATGTTTACATTACATAGTATCACATAAACATATGTTTCTGATTAATAAGCAATATACCAGTTCATCTGTACATTTTTCTTGTGCCATACCAAGTTTTGTCATAAAGATTTTTTTTTTTTTTTCGTTATCAAGATGTTTAAATTTGTATTTTTGGATAGAAAAATTGGCAAAACTCATAACTCGATCCAGTCACGAGATTAATTTTTTAACTCTAACGAGAACAGGAATTCTGTTCCATGTATAAATATAACTGATTCCTGCGATTATGAAACATTAGGCACGTGATAAAATAATTATATATACATAGTTATGTAAATACTATAAAATCTTCGTGTAGCCAGGGGTCAAAGTAATAAAAGAAAATCATTGTATCTGTCGAACTTTTATTTATTTAAAAAAAACAAAGAAATCTTTTGATTTATTACCTACAAAACAAGACTTTATTTGGGACCTGTCTTTGGCTAAATGTTGAAAAAAAAATTTTCATGCGTTACGATGTGTTATAAAAGTCCCTGAGATACCATGACAAAGTGTAATACCTCTTTAATCTCGGTAAAGTTATCATAAAATCAACGTATGTACATTTATAGGATGAATTTTTCAATGATAATATAAAATAAAATTATGTACATACGATCTTAGAAAAAATAATTGAAAATTATAAAAAATAAAGTTTTTATTATCCGTTGTATAAAAAAACTAATCACTGCCTAAATAACATAACGATTGTTTTTTTAATTTTATTTTGTTTATTTTTTTTTTCAAACTCATGAATACGAATTGAAAAAAATTATCAAGTTAAGCTGAATACATAGAAAAAATATAAAACAAACTTGTTTATTTTTACAAAAATAATTTATAAGTAATAAAAAACTCAAGAAATGCTTAGAACAATCAAGTGTACTATTTACATTTTAACAAAAACACTTATTCAAGTAGTCAACTAACTCATTTTAAGTTTTTTTCGTCGTTTAGTGGTAAACAATAACTACTTTTAATTTTAAGATAAAAGAAAATTTTAAGACCTGAACTCTTGCTAACCATCTATATTATCTTTTTTTTTTTTTTTTTTTTTCAAGTTAATCTTTTTTCAAAATAAATGGTAATTTACCTTTAAAAAGTCGTGATAGATTTTTAATAGTAGTTTATAAAGAATTATTTATAGATTAAGCAAATTTATTGTATCCTTAGTAGCCAAGCTGGGAAACCATTTCTAGGATCATAAATATCATTTTCGTTCTCCAAATCATTTTCAAGTTCATTCATGATCGGTAAAAGAGCATTAAGATCTGGATCATCTCTAGCCTCTAAATTGTTTCCTTCGCCATCCAAGTTATTATTATCTAGATCCCTATTTTGAGGTTCCACTTCAAACAAACCAATTCTTGGTGCATCTTCTATGCTTGGTGACTCTGAATCTAATTGAGCTACACTTAAAAAGTCATTTTCTGGCGATAAGTCTGGTGGAGTATTAGAATTAGGATAGCCAGAATCCATAATTTCTGGAGAACTGCTGTTGACTAAACTACCTGGCGTATCTGGAGATATTTTTTCCATCTTATTTTCTGCTTTTGCATCTTCTTTTGTGTCTAAAATTTTGCTTTTTAAAGCATTAGGAACTGTACTTGTATATTGCCAAACATTTGCTGGATTTTTAGGTTCTTTAGTTTCGTGTAAACATTCACTAAAAAAATGTTTGAAAAATTTTTTAAGAGTAAAAAATATACGTTTTTACATATTTTTCCATTTCAAATTTATTGTTAAGATCATAAATTACCTGACTTCATTTGAACATGAACTCAGATCATTATCTTTACTGTCAGTGCTTTGAAGTACATCACCTGACGTTGCATTTTCATGAATACTAACATCTAAATTTGAAAGCTCAGTATTTTTATCAACTTTCCTTCTTTTACAATCACTAGGGATATTTAGAGAACTAGAGTTAGTTGGCTCTTCAAAAGTACTTTCATGAGAATTGGCTGTAGTATTGTCTAAATTTAATGATTTAGTATGCTGATATACCATAGGACTTTCATACACTGAGATGGAATCTGATGAATTTTCAAAAGAAACACTTGTATTTGCTCTTGAAGTTTCAATCATGACCGTAGATATGCTACTTTCATCTGTGACATTCCAGAAATTATTTTCAGGAGTCTCAAAATTTGTATTATCTCTGGATTCAGAAATGATAATAGAACTACCCGATTCAACAATACTATTTTCCGTGTTTGTCAAGTTAAGTGCTTGTGAAGATAAGTTTCTTGAAACTTCTGAATTTCCAGAATCTATGGTTTCCGAAAAACTTGAAATGAATACTGATTCATCTCTTGGAGAATTGCCCATTTCACTCAGATGACTCTCGGTTTCCAAGTCATCTAAATTTGTGTCATCGCCGTATATGGATGAAGTCGTATTAGCATATTCTGAATCATCATTTTCTTCCTCTAACTCTGCATTTCCTACTTCTGGTAAGGTTCCCCATCCATCGTTTTCTACATTTTGTGGTTCATCTTCTAAATTTCGTACAATAACAATTTGCGGTTCGTTTTCCCAATCTTCTCTACTTGGATCACCATCTATTTCATAATCATGGTATTGACTAACTCTATTTAAAAAATAATCTGCTGGAGGTCCTGGGTCCCTACCCCATACACCACTACCGTCACTATCAAATTCGTCGTTAAAAGCATCAATATCAAAAAAATTTTCTTGGTTTGTACTTTGATCAGAGTACTGAGTTGGAGGAGGAATCATCACAACTGGCCCATCTTCTCTATCTTCAATTGACCATCCATCACCACGTAATATATCTCTCAAATCACTTTCAGTGACGGGAATTTGCATGAGACTCATAATCGATCGAAGAGGCACTTCTTCTTCCATTAATTCATTATTAGTGGACAACTTTCTTATGTAATAAACAGCATCGGCAAGAATTTTTTCTTCATCCGAACGACTGTCAACTTCATAAGGATATTCATACGTTTCTACAGTTTTGAAAAGTCCTTCAGTTCCTGGGATTTTCGGAACTGCCAGGTCACAGCTCTTGTAAAAGACAGCCATTTGTGAACAGGAACCAAGATGTTCAGTACCTGCAGGTCCATCACATATCCCATGAAATGTTACTTCATAATCTTGGAATCTTGAAACAATATTGTTTGCCCTAGGAGTAAAGAACAAAATTACAAATTTTTACCCCTTTACAATGTATAAAATTTCACAAGCCTATAAAAATATATACTTACCAGTCTTGAAATTGACTTCTTGTCCACTCAAACTTGTGATCCCAATGTCTAAATCCAGACATGTTATTAAAAAGTACGTTAAAATCTGCATTAGGAGTAGTGACAATTGCTACTTTTGGTTTAATATAACCAAATATACTGTAAGGAAAATTTGTCACGTCTTCTGGGTATAGATGCTCAATTCTGTGAAAAAATCAGGCAATCCATACATGAAAGTAAAAGAAAATATATAATTTCAGAAAAATAAACAACGTACAATTCTATGCAAACGACTGCATCTACATCTTCCAATTGTTTATCATGGTGATTAACACTACCTTCCAAAATTCTCACAACCAAGGGAGTTGACCTTTTGTGAAGGTAGTCAACGTACAATGGTTTAGCCTTGGGACTGTACCTGTCCAAAGTGTCGCGGTCAATGTCTACAAACAGTACTTCTTCAACTCCAACTATTTTCTTCAAGTAAATGCTAAAATTTAGCTCTGAACATCCAAAGTCTACTACCTGAAAAATTTAAGATTTAATTGCATAAGTATGCATACAATGCAGATTGTAAAGAAAAGTTGTAAGCTCCACGGACACCTTACCTTCCTGAGCTTCCTACCAAAACGCGGATCGGTAAGAATTTTTTCTACGGCCTGAAACCTTTGGACGTACGCTGGAGGATTGAAAGTGATGTTAGACTTGGACTCTTCGTCAACCGAGTCACCGGAATTGCGGCGCTTAAAATTCGTGTGTTCTCTCATTCTCTTGGGACTAGCGTACGGGGCCTGGAACGTGTCATCGTCGTCCTTGGCACCAGCAAGGCGACGAACGACGTAGTTGCCAAACATGTAAAGTGCGTAAAGAAACACTAGCATGTCCTCCTCACTTCGAACCTCACTCGTAAGTATATAGGTATATATGTACGTAAAACAAATACGTTATATATACCACGTGCAGGGGGATTGTTCAGCCGCAGCTGAAGAGTTGACGCGAACACTTTATTATAAACTAAATAAACAGTGCCAAGAATCGGAAATTGGATCGGGAGACGTGGCCGAGTGCATCCTCGAGGACTGTAAGGGCCTGCTACAGTGTCACTTGGAGATTTTCAATATTTCCTTATAAGATGTCACTCTAGCCTACAATAAACACCTTGAGCACTGCACACAGCATCAAGCCGACAAGGCGATAGAGAAAAGAAAGGAGTTAAGTGATAAGTGAGTCAGAGTTCCGCTATATCTATAATAGGTAATACGGTGTGTATTCCAAAAGTTGTTTTGTTGGCACTGTTCAAGTTTCTCATTTCAAGTAGGTAAGTATTTAGATGCGTCGCCGCGCGAAGCCGAGTTGTTTACATTTGTAAGCAGCATATATATATATATTCACTTGCAGGAATTCACAAACCTCGATCATAAGATTTTTTTTACTCAACCGAACTCAATGAATTCCCAATGGTTTTTTAAATTTCCATGTTCTTCTTCAAATTAACAAATTATTTTCAGATTTTAAAACTGAAAAGTAAAACAACTTTTTTTTTTTTTTTTTTTAAA